CCACAGGGGGCTTGCCCCGGCCACCCTCTAGCCTAGGCCCCAGCCCACCCCCCGCCCGGGCCTCCCTGGTGTCACTCACCAGGGCGTGTTGCAGCTGTGCGTGAGGGTCAGGTACCGCATGCCCAGGTGGTAGAGTGCCCGCAGGACGCCCAGGCTGCTGTCGATGGAGTGGCCGCCCTCCACCCCGATCAGACTGGCCACCTTCCCCGTCCGGAAGGCCTCTCGGATGCCTGTGAGCAGAGGCATCCGGCCGGGGCTGTGGGCACCTGGTGGCAGGTGTGCCTGGGCGTCCAGGGGGCGCATATACCCCGCACGGCTGGCCGAGCTGCACCAGCAGCCTCTGCTCACTAGAGGGCGGTGTAGGGCCAGGGAGGTGGCCGGCGGCACCTACCTTGGCTGCTGGTGACACACTGGAAGGTCTCGGGGTACATCTGGCACATGCGGTGGATGACGTCAATCTGCTCCAGCGTCCTCTTCACAGCGTCTTTGTTCTGGGTGTCGCAGGGCGTGTACGCAGACCAGAACTGGGGGCCACGGGGCAGGGCTAGGACCGGAGGCTCCAGGCCGCCCCCCCATGTGAATGTCTGGTCCCCCCTCCCCAGTCTTGGGAGCCGTCCCCGCAGCCTGTCCCCTCCAGGTCTGTGGCCCCAAGGAGACTGGCCAGGACCCAAGGGAGGAGGAGGGTGGACCCCAAGATGGGTGAGCACAGGGCTGGCCGGACGGTACCTGGCCCCCCACAAAACCAGCCTTCAGCTTGGGGATGTTGGTGTGTGTGCCCGTCAGGCTGGTCAGGTTGGCGTCCTTCTGCCGAAGCTCATTGTTGAACCTGAGCAGCAGCTGCCACGGCAGGTCGTTGTGCCTGGAGGGGCAGGAGGAGGGGTAGGAGGCAGGTCCCGGTGGCCACTTGACCCTGGGGCTCCAAGCTCCCTCCCTGGCCTCTGTCCCCTCTCTCATTCCTGCTTCTCACACACTCAGGGCCAAGGCTGGCCCCAGGGGACACAGACTACTCATGCCCGGAGCACACCTGAGCCAGGTAACCTGCGCTGAGAGCCCTAAGTGGATAGGCCTTCCATCCGAGGTGTCCCA